GGTGATACTATGACTGCCCCGTGGGTCTGGGTGATACTATGACTGTGGGTCTGGGTGATACTATTACTGCCGCGTGGGTCTGGGTGACACTATGACTGCCGCGTGGGTCTGGGTGATACTATGACTGCCGCGTGGGTCTGGGTGATACTATGACTGCCCCGTGGGTCTGGGTGACACTATGACTGCCCCGTGGGTCTGGGTGATACTATGACTGCCCCGTGGGTCTGGGTGATACTATGACTGCCGCGTGGGTCTGGGTGATACTATGACTGCCCTGTGGATCTGGGTGATACTATGACTGCCCTGTGGGTCTGGGTGACACTATGACTGCCCTGTGGGTCTGGGTGACACTATGACTGCCCCGTGGGTCTGGGTGATACTATGACTGCCGCGTGGGTCTGGGTGATGCTATGACTGCCCTATGGGTCTGGGTGACACTATGTCTGCCGCGTGGGTCTGGGTGACACTATGACTGTCGCGTGTGTCTGGGTGACACTATGACTGCCCCGTGGGTCTGGGTGATACTATGACTGCCGCGTGGGTCTGGGTGATACTATGACTGCCCTGTGGGTCTGGGTGATACTGTGACTGCCGCCTGGGTCTGGGTGACACTATGACTGCCCTGTGGGTCTGGGTGATACTATGACTGCCGCGTAGGTCTGGGTGATACTATGACTGCCCTGTGGTCTGGGTGATACTATGACTGCCGCCTGGGTCTGGGTGATACTATGACTACCGCGTGCGTCTGGGTGATACTATTACTGCCGCGTGGGTCTGACTATGACTGCCCCGTGGGTCTGGGTGACACTATGACTGCCCTGTGGGTCTGGGTGATACTATGACTGCCGCGTGGGTCTGGGTGATACTATGACTGCCGCGTGGGTCTGGGTGATACTATGACTGCCCCGTGGGTCTGGGTGATACTATGACTGTGGGTCTGGGTGACACTATGACTGCCCCGTGGGTCTGGGTGACACTATGACTGCCCCGTGGGTCTGGGTGATACTATGACTGCCCTGAGGGTCTGGGCGACACTATGACGGCCCCGTGGGTCTGGGTGACACTATTACTGCCCCGTGGGTCTGGGTGACACTATGACTGCCGCGTGGGTCTGGGTGATACTATGACTACCGCGTGCGTCTGGGTGATACTATTACTGCCGCGTGGGTCTGAGTGTTTACTATGACTGCCCTGTGGGTCTGGGTGATACTATTGCTGCCATGTGGGTCTGGGTGTTTACTATGGCTGCCGCGTGGAGCAGGAGTTTATGGGATGCCGCGTGGTGCAGGGGTTTATGGGATGCCGCGTGGAGCAGGAGTTTATGGGATGCCACGTGGAGCAGCGGTTTATGGGATGCCGAGTGGAGCAGGAGTTTATGGGATGCAGCGTGAAGCAGGATTTTATGGGATGCCGCGTGGAGCAGAGGTTTATGGGATGCCGCGTGGAGCTGGAGTTTATGGGATGCCGCGTGGAGCAGGGGTTTAAGGGATGCCGAGTGGAGCAGGAGTTTATGGGATGCAGCGGGAAGCAGGGTTTTATGGGATGCCGCGTGGAGCAGGGTTTTATGGGATGCCGCGTGGAGCAGGGGT